CTTCTGAGGTCTCAGCTTTTGCAGGAGTAGAGGTTAGGTCTCCCACTTGACTTGCACCTGGGGTGGATTCTGGGTTTGAATCCTGCTCCCTGCACCCCACCAGACCATACAAATGGAAGCTCAAGCTCACTTGGTTTGACAGGTGCTCTCCCAATAGAAAGCCCTCTTACCTTTTCAGGTTTCAGTTTTCACTTGGTTTTTTATTTTTAATATATCTCACTTTCTAATCAGAACATCAATACATTTATGTAGAAGTGTTGAACATTTTTATATTTTAATTTGTATTTTTAGTTGTTTTCAGTGTAGGGGTGAGTACAGTGGGGTAGGCAACCAGAGTAACTAGTCAACTGTACTGGTGGGATGGGCTTCTTATCACCAAGAAGGTGTGTGTTTTGATGTAGTCAAGTGGAGCTGCCTTTCCCTTTATGGTTATTACTTTGTGGTCTTGTCTCAGAGGTCTTCCCTTACTCTCAGTCTCCCAGTGTCACAAACACAAAAACATATTCTCTTATGTTCTGTGTGTCTTAATGTAAGGAAGGATTTATTTTTACTTTTGTCCATATGGGAAACTATGGACCATGGATCAGATTTGACTTTTGATCTGTTTTTATATGCCCTTGTGAACTAGATAGGGTTTTTACATTTTTAAAAGGTTTTATATATATATATATAAAATGATATGTGGTAGAGATGGTATGGGACCTGTAAAATCTAAAAAACTTATTATCTGGACCTTTTTACAAAAAGCTTACAGACCCCTGGATTAATTTACCTTTTTTTCTCAGTTGTTTGCTATATTTTAACTTCCCAGTTATACCTGTAGTTTAGTTCTGGGCCCTCCATCTCATTTCATTTGTCTCTCCATTTGTTGCCAACTCCAAATACCACACTGTAATGAAAATGGCTGTTTTCATTAATGAAAGTACATGAGCTAAAGGAGAGGGATTAGAAAAGGCAGGATCCATTTTCAGAGTGGAAATGGAAAAATGTAGAAAATTCATACTTGGATGCCTAATTGCCCTGACATTAACTAGAGGCGTAGAGATTCAGAGTGCCCATGGACTATGCCTCTGTGTGCCCAGAGCAAGCGCTGGACCATGGAATTGGATTTTATTGATTAATTTGTAACTGTGTACAGTGCTGTATGAAGCATGAAACGCTTGTTCTAGGAAGCTTCTGACAAATGGAACAATGAGTTGTGAAGTCCCAAGTGGATCAGAATGAGCAAGGAAGAGATTGGGGGTCACATGGGAGAAGCCTGCATGGTAAACCCTAAAATCTGTGTTAATCATTGAAAGTGGGGGAAAGAGAGTAAACTGGGTCCTGGGAATAAAATCTTTCCCTCTAAAGTGGATGTTTGTCTGAGGTATGTGTCTGCTCACTTCAGTCATGACACAGTTTACCTGTTCAGTGAGGTAGCATTCTCGGGGATGATGGCACAACCTCTGAGGTGAGGTGGAGACACACATAAGAGATATGGTGGCTGCCACCACACCTGGCTGAGACATTTGTCACATTCACCAAGGCACTAGAGGCTTTGACCACAGTCCTACATCCTGCTTAGTGGGATACTGAAGGTCTGCATGCCTCTACTCTGCTTCCTTTTGCTTTCTTATTCCCTGTAGGATCAAATGGGAGGAACAGTATAACAGCACATGTCTCCCCGCACCCCGCAGAATATGTGAAGGGGCCTGACCCTCTCCTTGGATCCACCTTCCTTCCCTCAGACTTGGCTGATAAAAGGAGTGAATGTGTGTGGGGTGGGGAGGGTGCAGCTGGAGTAGGCAGGGTGGCCAGTGACTTCCTGCCGGCCTCAAGATACATGACAAAAACTTCACCCTGCCTCCTTTCAAGAGCTTCTCACTGAACTCTCGTTAAAACCAGTGTCTCCTGAGTTCTTGACCTTGGCCAGCCAGTCACCACTGGAGCTGATGTGAGGTAAGAAGGCTTTTTTCTGAGCAGTTTTCCATGAGGCCTATCAACAAAAACATTGTGCTGATCTTACGTAAGTGTCGATAACACAGGCTCTTAAAGAAAGACCTCTGGAGAGATACAGAGAGCGCAGGGGGTACACCGAGTGTAGGAGTTATATTTAAAATCTGGACTTTAAATGGCAGTTATTAAAAACCCTGTGAACCGCTCTACTGGTCAGCTCACAGTGAATTAGACATAAATATGGAAACCTAGATCGATTGTAACGATAACCTCCAGTAAAATTACAGTGAGAAAAAGAATGGCTCTGTGGGACAATGTCACGCACAAGAGCGACACTACGTATTTATAAGGATCCTTGTATTTAAGGATGTTTGTCAGACATATTTGAGTGAGTGTCTCTGGGGAAGATAGGCCAGTGGGACTCAGAGGAGAAGGGAAACACTTGAATCGTGTGTCTGGGGTCGGGCTCCCCAGAAGCAGACCCTGAGATGGGCATTCTTGGACAGGTGACTTACAGAGGGAGGGCTCTCAGGAGTGAGGGAAGCAGACCAGGGCACAGAAAGGACTAAGCACAGTTTGGCATTGTGTATCCAGTCCTGCCTGATCCCGTGGGAAGGTCTGGAGTGTGAGATGCACCAGAGATTGTCCTGCTCAGAGAGAAGGGGGCTGAGCTGTCACCCCTTGCAACTGTCAGTCAGTGGCTAAGGGCCCTTCCTGGGGTATGTGCAAGTTCCCCCAGGCCTCTTCAGACAGGATGGCTCCCATCAGCTAAGGGCAGTCCTCTTGAGAAGGGGATAAATATGAGTCATGAGCATCCAACACCCCAGCACCTGGAACACAACATGCAGCCTGGTGAAGGCGGTTGAGATGGGTCTTCGTGGCATCTGCTAAACTGCAGGAGGCCTTGTTTGGCTGGTGATGGTGACAGACTTGCCTCCCCTTCCACACCCTGTGTGTTCGTGCCCAGAGGAGGATCTTCCAGGAGGGGCTGCGTGCAGAATGTTCTCAGAGAACCCGGGAGAGGCAGCAACAGACCCTGCCCATGACTCAACAAAATACTGCTTTGAAGGCAAGACCAGGATACACTTGGGCTCCCCCAAGGGTAAAAGGGCCCAGATTCCACCTTCCTAAGACCTGAATTAGGGGCTGGGACTCTCTGTCTCCTAGCGGTTTTCATTGAGTAGAGTCCCTCACTAGGCCATTTTCCAAAAGCAAAACTTCCCAGCAGTTCAAACTGTGCCGTTCTTAACACTGCGAGCTTGTGGCAGTCACCCACTGACTTGGGGGTAAAGGTGACCCAGCAGCACATAGAGAAGAATTCTCCCCATACCACCCCCCCACTTCCTCCCTTTGTCTCTACACTTTGAAATCACTCTCTGCCCAGGCTCAGCAGGAGACCTGACTGGTTCAGGGGCTTGTGATTAGCTCCCTACCCTGGCTCAGAAAGCTCTTTCAGGAACCTGTGGACTTGACAAGCAGGAACGACTGCTTCAAAGAATAAAGCAGGCACCCCTGGGGAATGACAGTGCTTGCCCCAGGCTGGGGAGGCAGCAGGGCCATGTGAGTGGGGCCTCTCCCAAACACGGACTCCAGAAGAGATGAACACAAAGTCACTTTCTCATTGTTTTGATGCCATAAAAATCAACGCATAAGAGAATACAGCATTCTGCAGGTCTTATTTAAAATTCTGTGAGCAACCCTGGTGATTAGGGGACTGCAGCTGGAGGCTGGCGGAGGCTCAGACAAATGAGAAAGGAAAATGGCCAAGCAGGTCGCCTCACCTTCCCCCCAGGCTGAAGAGCGTCTGGGAGTAGAATTCTTGTAAACTGAGGTTTGTAAAAGAAAGGGCGTCCTTGTGGCTTGACTGGGCAGAGAGAAACAGTGCGAAGGTCTCTTCAAAGAGCTGACCACTGGTGGTGGCCTGTCGCAGAATGGTACAGAGCACTGGCCCAAGGGTCTAGCTCCACTTGGCTGCACGGTCTTGCATGTCTTAGGGCTCATAGCAGCTGCTCTGCGTCTTGGTTCTTTGGCCTGCAGCATGGTGGTACTAGAGCAGCTGGTCTGTCCTTGGTTGCACATTTGGTTGCATATCCTAATAAATGCGTAATTGTTTACTCAGAAATTATACACACGTTCTACTCTGCTAATGTGTTATGTATATTATGAAGGGCATACAGCAATAGATACAAGAAAGTCTAGAAGAAAGTAAATATAAATAGAAGCTCCAGTATTTTCTTTCTCAGCTTTGCCGTGCCTTCCCACTGGGATGTGAATACTGTTTCGGAGGTTAGACCAGATGATCTGGAAGGTCTTCTCTAGATGGAGAAGACCCTCCCCCTTTTTTTAAAAAAGATTTTATTTATTTATTTATTTGAGAGAGAGTGAGAGAAGGAGAGAGCACGAGAAGGGGGAGGGTCAGAGGGGAGCCCGACGCGGGACTCGATCCCAGGACTCCAGGATCATGACCTGAGCCAAAGACAGTCGCTTAACCAACTGAGCCAGCCAGGCACCCGGAGAAGCCCTTTTTTTCAAAGTAGATCCCCTAAGCCTGCAGTGTCCAGTACAGTAGCCATTGGCCACATGTGGCCATTTAAATTCATTAAAATGAAATAAAGTAAAACTCAGTTCCTCAGAAACCCTAACTACGTTTCAAATGCTCAATAGCTGCACGTGGTCAGTGTAGATTATAGAACGTTCCTGTCATTGCCGGAAATTGTACCGGGCAGCATGTTTCTAAGTGGCCAGGAGTGTATGATTCAGGATTTCGTTACAGCCACTAGCCTTTAGTGAATATGCACTATGTGCGAAGTACCACGGAGAGCCCTTCCTGTGCACCATCGCATGTCGTCCCTCCAACAACAGCCTTGCGGGTTAGGTCCCACTATTGTCTCCATGTCCTACAGGGGAAAAGGAGATAGGAAGGATGAGAAGTTTCTAGGCTGACCCCACAGGGACTCGGGGGTTTATTGTCTGAGTGTTGCCTTTGTAAATGTGTGTGTGTGTATGGGCTTCTGGGCACATATTCTCTGGGCAGGTGACTGCCTACGTGCTTCTCTGCCCCACAGGTACAAAGGGAGTTTCTTACAGAGCCGTGTCCAGCCGAAAGGGGGTGGACCGCGCAGGCCTCCCAGAGTGCTGAGAAAAGACCGCCACCTACCCCCACTCGAGGGGCTGGGCCCACGCGGGACCTGCAGGCAGCCTTCTTCAGAAATGGCAGGTAATGTTCTTCTTGGAACCAAATCCAAACTGGGCACACCAAGTCACCGGGCCCCTCATAGAGGCTGGGGATGCAGGATGGGCGGGAGCCAGCCATCCTTGCCCTTGGGAGCCTGAAAGTATGGTGACAAAGGTGGGACATCTATGGGACAGTGTGACCCCAAACTGGTGGGGAGAATACTGGGTGAGAATCTGGAGAAGTCAGGACACATCCTTCAGTCCTGGCCACATGTGCCGGGCCGTGTGCTGGGCCCTGTGCCAGGTACAGATTTCCTCCAGGACCTCGGGAACATGAGTCAGAACTCTTGGTGCCTCCACTCTTCCCCATCTTTAAAAAGGAAGTTCACTTGATTCTTTCCACAGGGCCATTGCGAGGCTGCAGTGGGTCAGTGGGGGGCTCGAGAGTCAGTGTTGGAATAGAAAGATGAGCAGTTAGTGCGCGTGGGAGCTGCAGGGAACATTGCTTACATGGAAGGCGTCAGAAGTGCATGCTTTGTCATGCTCAGAAATAAATCAAGGATGAACTAATGCAGAGCGCTTCCTGGAAAAAGGACTATTTTCAGCTGTAATCACTGGGCAACCAGGGCAAATCGCTGTACTTCTCCGGACCTCCGTTTCTCCTCCTCCCCAGCAGCAGTGGGCCCAGCCTTAGCCTCTTTTGCAAGGTGTTGACTGGGAAAAATGAAGAGCATCTGTGGAGAGGCTACAGGGTCCCATCTGGCCAGCGGCGACTGAATTACCATCCTTTTGTGGCTGATTATTGTCTGTTTGGCTCAAGGGCTGACCCTGGGCTGTGTCTGATGGCTGAGCTTTGGGTCCCTGGGGATAGTCGGCTAGGGCACCTCGCCCTCCACCTTTGTGTAGCTCCAGTGCCCCCTGCAGGCAGATGGCTCTTCCGTGGCGCCCCCCCCCCCTCCTGTAGGCAAGGACAGGGATTTGTCTTTTGTTTCTCAGTGAGAATTTAAATCAAGGTAAGTATTTGCTCTGTGGGTTGGCCAGGAAAAGCATTGTTTTTGCTAGGACCCTGGAGGTTTAAGATGGTGTCGGGGAGGCTGGGATGAGATGGAGGGTGGTAGCCCGAAGGCCCCAGGGAGCCCAGCTGATCCTCTCTTCACTTCTGTGGCCCATATCCTCAACTCCATGACTTTCCTTCTTCTCAAATAGATACAGCCAAAGGAACTGCCCAAGGGGTTGCATGGGTGATACCCACCCCCTGGCAGAACCAACTGGAAAGCTTCCAGTTGTCCCACATGGCAGAACCTTCCCACCATCTCTCTCCCCAGTGCCTTAAAGAGGGCCAAATCAGGCTGCTGGAAGCTCACGGCAGTTGCCATGTTTATATTCCTAAGCATTGTGCTTAGGAAGAGGAGAGAAATAATCCTGCTGTGGTACAGGGTGAAGTCTGGACTGGTGGACTCTCTCTTCACCCTTTGCTCAATCACAGCAGGTCAGGTAGCTGCCCCCTCGGGATCTGTGTCCACACAGCGAGGCTGTGGATAAAGGTTTTACTTAACCAGTGGCTCAGTGTGCGTGTGCAGGCGCCAGGAGACTCTACTGCAGATGATAGATGTTGATTGTTACTATCTGCGGAGCACGATAAGCATACCTGCATAAAAACAGGCAGGTGCTGAGTGCCAAGTGAGTGTGGGGCATGTGGTAATAAGTGTTTCTGTTGTTGGCAGAGGACAAGGTCAGTGTTGGGGGAGGGACCCCTAGGGGGAGTTTTCTTGAGAGACATAGGGCTTTGTCTGGAAATGCAGAGGTAGGGAGAATAGAACTGAGGCTTGCTGGATTGGGGAGTGGTGAGTAGGGGCTCAGGGGCAAGAATGCAGACTCTGGAGCGGGCAGCTGGAGCCCAGATGGGCCAGTGTGCACTGGGACCAGTGGGTGACAGGGGATAGCCACTGAAGCCGGGGCCCCACTTGGCCACCACCTGTACTAGTTTCCTGTGGCTGTGGAAGAAATTGCCACAAACTTGGTGGTTTAAAACAACAAAAATTAATTTTCTCACGGTGACGGAGGCCACTTGTCTCACACTCTCTCCAAAGGCTTTAGGGAAGGGGCCTTCCTGCCACTTCCAACTTTGGGTGGCTCCAGCTGTCCCCTGGCTGGTGGCTGCATCTCTCCAGCTTCTGCCTCCTGCACATGGACTTCTCTGTGTATTTCTGTGAATCAGATCTCCCCCTCTTTTTCCCTTATAAGTATACTTGTCATTGGATTTAGGGCTGATCCTAAAGCCAGGCTGATCTCACTTTCAGTCTTAATTTAATGACATCTGCAAAGACTCTTTGTCCAAGTAAGGCTACAGTCACAGGTTGTGCAGACTAGGACTTGGACATAGTGTTTTGGGGGTCACAGTTCAATCACTGTACCACTTTTACAATTTTTCCCATCTCTGTGAACCAACAGAAGTGACCTAAAAACGTATTTCTAAATGAGAAAAGCAGTGGCACACATGGACATTCAGTGTTCGATGAGGCACATTGTCTGTGCTCTTATTGTGTGCACACAGTTTGGGTAGGAAAGTTCTATTTGAAACCAAACCAGTACATAATCATTAAGAGTCACCTGGCCCACCACCAGCAGGACACGTTCCACACTTGCGGCAAGAGTTTATGAGGCGCTTCAACGCCAGGATGGGTGTGTTGGGCTAGGGGACCCATTAGCTTCTCTTTAGGGAGAAGCCCAGGGGCGGGTGGGGTAGGGCCCAGTTGGGCCCTTGAAGGTATGGCTGTGTGGGATTGTTCCCCCCGGGCCTGTGGTCCAGTTCCCATCTGGTTTGTCCAGCCTTGCCCTCTGACTATGGGGCTGTCAGCCCAAAGCAGGGAGCCCCGGCTCTTCTCTCCATTCACTTTCCACTGTGCGACCCGCCAGTGGAAGTGGGTGCCTCTTCCTAATGTGCACAGGTGACCCGGGGGAGCAGAGACCAGGCGGGAAGCCTCTGACCTGTCACTGTCCTCTGCACCCCCTTCTTCCCTTTGAAAGCGTCTCTTGGCCTCAGGGGGGTGGTCCTGCTCCCGCCCACGTGGACTTATGGAGGGCATCTGGAGACCCCCTCCATGTTGGGAGAAATCCCACTTCTATCTACTTCTTATCTCAGCAGCAGCTTTTCATACCAAAGCCTCAGAGCAAACTGGGGCACAGTGAGTGGTGAATAAAAACAGACCCAAACAAACAAAGAAAATCAGGAACACAATCTGAATGTGGAGCTAAGAAAGGAGAGGCTATCCATGGTTCAAATGCCCCCTGGGATGTGGCCCCACACAGGGGTATTATAATGCCCCAGCAACAGCCCAAGTGGTGACAAATGTCTCTGCTTTCATGTTTATTATTTGAGAAGCGGATTGAGCCAGAGCCTTGGGTCACTGGTGCCCATTTTCAAAAGGCTCCCTCCCCCGCAATTAGGAAGAACATGGAGGATGTCCATTAAGAGCAGGTGTGAGCCTGTGGGATGTGGGCTAAGCATTGGCCCAGGAAGTATTAATCACCCCTTGTCCCTTATTGAAGTGTCAGAGTGGGAATAGGACTGGCTGGTTGGGTAAACCAGCCAGCCCAGGGTGGATAGGTCATGATGGACACCAAGTCGGAGGGTGGTAGAGTGCATTACAATAAATTCCTCCTGGAAATCAAAAGGGCTCGGGGATTTATTGCCACTGCTTGCCCATACAAATATTTCACAGTGGAGTGACAGGCACTCTGAGTGTTGGGTGATTGAAGACAAAGTGCCGTTACTTCAAAAGAACCTAACAATGGGCCTCGGTCACCCACCATCTCCAAACAACTTTCTTATATCCTTTGACCTGGCAGGTCCTACGTGGAGAGATCAGGGCTGGCTTCTGAGTGAGGGAGCTGACCTCACCATGGTGTGGTGCTCGCGCCTGTGCGTGAGTGCGCCTGTGAATGCGTGCAGCTGTGTATGTTTTTTTTGTGAGGGGTGTTTGTGGGGGGAGGGCCTGTTCTCCACAGCAGGACAATGAGAGAATCACCTCTTTTGGGTGACTTGAGGGGCTGTAACTTTGGGGGAACTTGATGAAATGCAACAAAGAAATGGAGAATGGTCTTTGGGGGGAACTTCCCAATTAAGATAGGGAAGTCCTTTGTCCCTGATCCTTATAAGTCAACTAGAATCAGTAACACCTCTTCAAGTACGTAGGCATGAGTGCCTGTGTCTGGGGGTCGGAAGAAGGGATCATAACTGACTCTTTGTCCTCTTCAGTTTTGGTGAATCTTCCCGTCAACAGTTTATAAAGATGAGAGGAAGAGGATGTTTCTGAAACATATTTTTTAAAAGGCTGCTTAATTTCCCTCTTCTTTAAACTATTCTGATAGCTTGGTACTAATCACTGCAGTTAACAGATGGCTTGGCAGTGAAGTCATCTGCAAGCAGAAGGCCAGAGGAGTTAGAAAGGATAGAGACCTAATTTATCAGATTTTAGAGTGATTGGAGTCTTTGAGACTCTCCTGAGAACTGATTCTGTTTTTAAACCTGAGTCCAGTGGTCCATCCCATCCAAGTTTCCAGCAAGGGGGCCAGAGAAGCTGGAAGTTTTTTTAAAATATCAAGTAGCAATGAATTCCCCATAGCAACGGTGACTGTCTGTCGGCAGGGGTGTTGCCATTCCGGAGAACTTCCTTCCTCATTCATGCACTTCAGCATCGTGGGGGAAGTATGGTGTTTAGGTGACTTTAATCTCAGAAGCTCAAGGTTCTTCATTGAAGGGATTCATAAAAAGATGCTTTTTAAGATACCAGTCATTGAATATCCCAAGGAGAGCACACATCTCCTTGAGGGAAGACCTTGTAATCCAAACTTTCTTTATGGGACACCCCATCGCCATTGCCCGGGGAGGCGATGATTGTCACAGGATGAGAACATTCTCCAATAAACTGACTGCTTATAAATTTAGACCCCTTTTAAACACCACTTTATCTGTCTCTCTCTCTCCTTAACTTTAGCTTTCATTCCTGCCCTTCAGATTAATTTTCACAATATAATGTAAAT